GTGGTGGTAACGGTGACGGTTGTGGCAGTGGTGGTGGGGGCGGCGACGGTTGTGTCGGCGACGGTTGTGTCGGTGACGGTGGTGGTGGTGGCGGTGGTGCTGCTGGGTGGTGGTTCTGGTGGCGGCGACGGCGGCGATGGTGGTGGCGGTGGTGGTGATGGTGGTGGTGGCGGTGGCAGTGATGGGGGCGGCGACAGTTGTGGTAGTGCTGGTGCTGGTGGTGGCGACAGCGGCGATGGTGGCGGCAGTGGTGGTGGCGGCGGCGGTGATGGTGGTGGTGGCAACGACGGTGGTGAAATAGGATAAATTTATATATATGATAAAAAAATTAGGTTAAAGAAAGGGGTAAAAAATAAAATAGATTCTAAAATCTATTCCTGAGCGTTCAGTAATAGGCTAATACCAGGGGGGCCCTAATAATAGCTATTACCTTATTTGAGGTAATAGGCTATTATCAGGAATATTATTCCTGGTAATATAAATGGTTACCAAACAAAGGAATAGGCCTGGGAATGCTACGCCATTCCCGGCCTATTCCGTGAACCAAACGGGCCATAAAAGTTTGAAGATCTATTCAAGTCATTAGTGAATTAGTGCTAATAATTCATAGTCCAAACTCCAAAGTTCGAAACTTAAAAGCTCAAAATTTAAAGGCAAACCCAATACCTCATAATAAAATACAACTTAAAGTCTGAACAATATCTTCAAATGCAAACTTAGACGGATAGGAATCAATCGTTATGCTATGGACCCGTGTCTAGCATGCATGCTGGACACGAGTAACAGTGTCGTTAGGCACTGTTATCTTTGTTTTGTTTTGTTTTGTTTTGTTTTTTTTTTTTTTTAAATTTCAGACCGCTTCGTCATAGGAGTATATGTTCATAATTTTATTACTATATGTTAATAATTGTAAGTTCATAATGTCAGAGCTCTATGTTCATAATTTCATAACTGTACATTCATACTTCCATAACTGTACATTCATAATTCAATAACTGTAACTTCATAATTTTCGAAGCTCTATGTTCACAATTTTAGAACTCTATGTTCATAATTTTATCACTATATGTTCATATTGTAAGTTCATAATGTCAGAGCTCTGTGTTCATAATTTCATAATTGTACATTCATAACTGCATAACTGTACATTCATAATTGCATAACTGTACATTCATAATTCCGTAATTGTACATTCATAATTCAATAACTGTAAAATCATAATTTTCAAATTTCGATGTTCACAATTTTAGAGCTCTATGTTCATAATTTTATCACTATATATTCATAATTGTAAGTTCATAATGTTAGAGCTCTGTGTTCATAATTTTATAACTTACATTCATAATTCTATAACTGTACATTCATAATTCCATAACTGTACATTCATAATTCCATAACTATACATTCATAATGACACAAACGAATAACGCCGTTAACGGCGAGACAAAATCAATTTTTTTAACTGAAATGACGCGTTTTCCCTGAAAACGACGTCGTTTTGGACTCGTGTCCACAATGCATTATGGACATGAGTCCAAAACGACGTCGTTTTCAGGGAAAACGCGTGGACACGAGTCCACTGCATAATTTGCGGATAGGCATTCACAAATAACATCCCTTGGAAAAAGTCATCCATCTTCATCAATTAGTCACTTAAAAACAAAAGCGAAACTTCCTCCTTTATTTATTTATTTATTTATTTATTTATGGTTTAGAGTAATACTTCTGATCTTCTAAGAAGAGTTTTTTCTCAAAATGGTCCCTCGACTATCGCTCATTCTCAATTTTGCATTTCGACTTTTAATTGCACTTAATGTGGTCCCTTGACTTTTAAAAACTACCCCAAATTAGTCCTCCGTTAAATTTTGCATCAACTGGGTTTTAAGATTGGGGGTATTTCCGTCCATTCACTTCTTCCGCGTCTATTACATTAATCGGAAGGTTAAAAAATATATATATGTAATTGTTAGGCCCCTTTCAGAGAGGAAGCATGGTCGGAATATTTCAAAGGTTCTGCTAGCGGCGACGGAATCAAGTTTTAGTCCAACGGTTTCTCAGTTTCAGACAACAGAACATGGAGCCGCCGGAGTGAGACGTCATATACGATGCCATATCCTAGTCTTCCATGCCGTCTGATGATTATACACACTCAACGCTATCAATTTCCATCAATTATCCCAAAAGCCCACTCCTCGAATTGGAGGAAAAAATTCAAAACTTTTTCCTCAACTCAAGAAATCACCCCCTGGAAATTTCTGAACTTCTTCTTTCAATTTCTTTTGGTTTCTTCTTCTGATCTGGTGGGAAGAATACGCGACAGAGATAGACGAATCAAAAGAAAATGGAGAGAGAGATCAATTTGGGAACATAGTGGAGAATAGAGAGAGAGATCAATCTGGATCGATTCCGAAGAACCAAACAGAGCCCCATGGAGCCGCTGGGAACGATGTTGTAGCATTCGAGTCAGGGAGAAGATAGTGCTCTAGTGGGACTCGACCACGTCAGAAGAGGCCAGGGGGAAGATGATCTTTGAAGGGGACCGGGCGGAAATCGATCAGTACTTGCACGCCGTCGATGAAATCCAACGGTTCATGGTGTCCACCACACTGTTCGACGACCAGAGCAAAGCCAACAGCTTCTGAAATAACTTTGGCAGAATCATAAGACAACCATATAATATTGTGTTGTAACTTTACATGATTATTATACATTTAAAAGTAAAACTAAAAATCTAAAAAGGAAGAACAAATTTGAAGAGGATGTAGGTCAGATTCGTCTGAAATCTAGAATTTCTAACACAGGAGGAGGTGAATGGACGGAAATACCCCCATCTTAACGCCCAGTTGACAGAAAATCTAACGGAGGACCAATTTGGGGTAATTTTTAAAAATCAAGGGACCACATTGGGTGCAATTAAAAGTCGAAATACAAAATTGAGAATAAGCGATAGTCGAAGGAACATTTTGGAAAAAAACTCTTCTAAGAAAGAATGGGTCAATAGCTTTTCAGTTTTCTTTCAAACTCAGATATCAAATTTGCTTTAATAACAGGGATAATTGCATACCTACAACATATGCAACCAGTAAAATCACATAATACAGATTCTTAGTACAAAATACTCTACCCAATCAAATGTCATCCACCCATCTAAAGGGAAGGGAATTCCCTGCCCTGATTGATATTAATAAAATAATACTTAAAAAGAAATTTGAAGTACACAATATCAGAAACAAAGGAAACCACAGAGAGTAAATAAACCAGATTAAAAGAAAAGGAAATAAACCTAAGTTGTGAGAACGCGAGAACGACAGCTGCTAGAAGCGTAGAATCTGCAATTAGGAAGGCAGATAGGCTAATGAGCTGTTTGGTTCACGAAATAGGCCTGGAATGGCATAGCATTCCCAATAATAGGCATATTCCTTGGTTGGTAACCACTTGTATTCCCAGGAACATTGTTCCCGGGAATGACCTATTCCCCTTGCAAGGGGAATAGAGATTCCTGGGGCCCCTGGTATTAGGCTATTCATAGTTCTCACTAATAGCCTAAAGTTTCTATTTCCTATTTTACCCCCAATTAAATTTATTTTATATTTCACCACCGCCACCACCATTAGGGCTGTGCAATACCCGAACTACCCGAAGAACCCGCCCGACCCGAACCAGCGCTCACCGAAGGGAGATGAAATCCGACGGGTTCGGGTGATATCCGAACCGACCCCAAGCAACGTGGCTATTAAAGACGGACGGGTAGGGTTAGGAAATATCCCATTCGAACCCGTCCGAGATCCGAAATATGGCCTAAGTATAAAACGTTGCGTAGACCTAGGGTTTGCCATTCTCTCATTCTCTGACTCTTCACTCGGCCACTCCCCACTCCCCAGAGCTTCTTCTCGAAATCTCCTTAGTCTCCTACTCTCCTCTAGCCATCCCCATCCGATCTTCAGTCCTTCTCATCTAATCTTCTTCCATAATCTCCTTCTTCTCCGGTGAATCTCTGATTCTCTGAAGTCTGAACTCTGAGTCTCAACTGAGAGTATCTGAAGTCTGAGAGTCTGAACTCCCCTTCGACTCCTTCGAGGCTTCGAGGCTTCGAGTCTTCGACAGTTCGACGGGAATCTTGTGGAAGTGTTTGTGGCTCTGTGCAAACTGGAAAGACGGCAAGAAGGAAGAAGCCGGACGGCAGTGGAAGTGGAAGTTTGACGCCTTGAAGCCCTAGATCTCAGAGGGAACCTTTGAGAAAACAAGTAAAATGTAACTCTGTCATTTTTTTTTTTTATTTTCCTGTTGCATGTTTGTGAGTTTGTCTGTTCTGTTCTAGTTCTATGATGTTGCATGCACCCTAACTTTTAACTGAACCCTTAAATTTGTTATTTCAAAATGTATGGTGGTGGTGGAAGTGTGGAACTGTGGAAGCCTACTGAATTTGTAATTGATATTATGAATTTATGATGTCCATGTTGAATGCTAATAGTTGACTGTTGGAATTTGCAAATTGGAATGAATACTATTGAATGTTGTTGAATACTTGAATTGTTAATGGGTTGATGGTTGATTGTGGAAGTGTTAAGCCCTAATTTGTGGGCATTTCCATAAAATGATGAGTTCATGATTCATGATTCATGACTCCTGATTATGGAATGAATTTGTTAATGTGTTATATGTAATTATGTATGTCAATACTCAGTACTGAGTGTTTACTATTAAGTGTTAAGCCCTAATTTGTGGGCATTTCCATAAAATGATGTGTTCATGATTCATGATTCATGACTCCTGATTATGGAATGAATTTGTTAATGTGTTATATGTAATTATGTATGTTAGTACTCAGTACTGAGTGTTTTCTGTTAAGTCCTAAAATCAGGAGTCCATAAAATGAGGAGTTCATGAATCATGAATCCTGATTATGGAATACATATCACTGTGACAGACTGACAGTGTATGGCCTTATGTGTGCTTGTGTGAAATTTGAATCCTATTTGCTCATCCATAAATCTTTATAGATGGAGAGCAATCAAAATATAAGTGGAAGTGGAACTGGACCTCTTCCATCTTCAACAGTGGATGAACAAGGAGTACAAACCCCAGGCATTGAGACAAGTGCTCAACAGCCTATGGCTACTCCTAAAGTTCCTGCTGTTAAGAAGAGGAAGGAAATAGAGTCTAGATCCATAGTGTGGGAGCACTTTGAACAGATCAAAGATCCTGAAACTAAAAAAGTGCTTAAAGGCAAATGCCTTTACTGTGCAAAAGAGTATTTTTGTGAAACTAAAAAACATGGCACATCATCATTAAGAAATCATATGGCCAGTTGTCTTAAAAATCCCCATTCGAAGGATACAAGGCAGTCTCTACTCACATTCAACACTCTGTCCACTTCTGAGGGTGGAACAGAGGCTCCTGGGGGTGTTTTGGGGACATGGGTGTTTAATCAAGATGCCATTAGGAGGGCCCTTTGTGAGATGATAATCATAGATAAGCCCCCTTTTAGGTTTGTAGAGGGCCAGGGGTTCAAGAGGTTTATTCTGGTTGCTTGTCCTAGGTTTCTTATCCCTTCTAGGTGGACCATTTCTAGGGACATCTACCAAATATTTCTTGATGAGAGGCTAAACATTAAGAAGTTGTTTAGAGTGGGAACTCAAAGGGTTAGTCTAACAATAGATACATGGACTTCTGTCTAGAGAATCAACTATATGTGCATTACTGCACATTTTTTAGATGACCAGTGGAAGCTTCATAAAAAAATTATATCATTTGTCCCAGTTTCTTCTCATAAGGGGGAGTACATTGCAAAAGCCCTAGAGAGTTGTTTATTAGAGTGGGAAATTAAGAATGTGTTTACTGTAACAGTGGATAATGCCTCCTCTAATGACACAGCTATGGGGGTTTTTAAGAGTAAACTGTTATCTTGGGGTTCTTCTTCTGTTAAGGTTCAGTACATACACATGAGGTGCATAGCCCATATCCTCAATTTAGTGGTCCAAGATGGGTTGAAGTTTGCAGATGAGTCAGTTAAGAGGGTGAGGGATGCAGTGAGATGGGTTAGGAACTCACCAGCAAGGCTGACAAAGTTCAGAGAGTTTTCTGAACTGTTTGGTGTGGAAGCTAAATCAGCTTTGCATCTTGATGTCCCTACAAGGTGGAACAGCACCTACATTATGCTCAACACTGCAATTCAATATCAAGTAGTGTTTGATGCATATGAGAGAAATGACCCCTCTTATTCTGCTGACTTGGGGAGTGCTCCTACCTTCTTGGATTGGTGTTCTGTGGAAAGCTTAGTGAAGCTGTTGAAAGCATTTTATGATATGACAGTGAGGATCTCTGGTTCACTTTATGTCACATCCAACACATTCTTCTCTGAGATCTCTGATCTTAGTTGCATGCTTGAAGCTATGGTGAACTCTGAGCAGGGGACTGAAAAGGTAATCTCATTTATCTTTCAATTTGTTTGCTTATTGTTTTTTGTATTTCCTGTAATTCTGTAAACTAATAAATTATTTTTTTTTTTCTGTTTTAGGCAATGGGGACACAAATGAGGAACAAGTTTGACAAATATTGGGGGGATCCAGAAAAAATGAACTCTATCATTTTTTTTGCCAATATTCTGGACCCCAGAGATAAGTTGGAGTACATGCCTCATCAATTTGTCCAGTTGTATGGAGAAGAGAAAGGCAAAGCTTGTTTTACCAAGGTCCAATCTGCAATGGATGCTTTATATGATGACTATGCAGCTACATACTCTCTCAGTTCTACCCAGACAACATCCTCTACTCAAGCAGTCCAGTCTGAGGCTAACCAGGCTACTACTTGTACAGTTGGTAGGCCTCAGTCATCTTTGAAGAGCCAACTTAAAAAAAAAAAAAAAGAGATTGCGAAGTAGTGGAAGCAGTAAGCAAACTGAGCTGCAAGTATACTTAAGTGAAAGTCTTGTGGAGGATGATGAATCTGTTGCTTTTGATGTGTTAAAGTGGTGGAAGAGCCATAGTGAGAGATTTCCTATTCTCTCCAAAATGGCTAGAGATGTCCTTGCAGTTCCTATCTCCACAGTTGCTTCTGAGAGCTGTTTTAGTACATCTGGAAGGGTACTTGATCCATTTAGGAGTTCCTTGACTCCTAAAATAGTGGAAGCACTAATATGTACTCAAGATTGGTTGAGGGCACCTAATCAGCCAATCCAAGTTGAGGAGAACCTAGAGGAGGTTGAAAGATTAGAGAAAGGTAACACTTATCACTTTCTTAGTTACTTTTTTTTATTCTACTAAGCTTATTTCCTTTTCACTTTCTTTCTTACTTATTATGTTTTTCACTTTTGCAGAATTGCCCACTGGAGCTTCATCTACTATACCATCAATGTTGCCTACAATCACTGTAATGTTTTTAATATTAGTTTACAATGTGTTCATTTCTTTACTGAGTTTGATATTCTGTTATGTACTCATGTTGTTGCAAGTGGTGTTTAGCCTCTAATTGGCTTGGCAACTTTCTGTTATTGATTTGTTGCTGCCATTAGATGGGTTGAGCCCAATTTTGCCCATTTCTCTGCACTCTGAAATTCTGGTATAACTCTTCCTTGTCCTGTTTTCAGTTTGAATGTATTTGTTTTATTTGGTGGCTATGATGAAGCTTCCACTATTGTCTGAATAAATGGAATGGAGTTGGTATGTTGCCAATGTGTTAATATAACACATTCAGAGCAATTTGCCCACATTCTTACTTGATATGGAAAAATGCACTCTGAGCCACTTAGCTTAGTGAATAATTGCTTAGTATTGTTACTCTAAATGTCTGATTGTCTGTTTTCTAAACTCTAAACACTAATATCATTTTAAGTTTGAATACTAGCAGGAAGAAGAATAGATTATCTAGATGACTAGATTAGTGTTGATTTTGCTGAATTGCTGAAGAAGAACTAAAGAGTACCGGTGCTGACAGCTCAAGTCTATGATTTTTTGTATAATCATTGAAATTCGAAAATATGTAATTATTAACTTAGTTTGAAACTGTTATAGTTGTATACTAGTATGTTTTGCTAGTTGCTACGCTATGGTAATGAAACTCAGTATTATTTTTATCTATTTTAGAATTTTTAGAATTTAGATTTTTTTTATGTTAATTTATTATATCCGATTTCAATCCGAAATCCGAACCTATGAAATCCGATAGGATCTGTCCAAAAAAATAAACGGATAGGGGGGTACAAATGAAATCCGAAGTCCGATCGGATGGACGGATTGGACATCCGATCCGTCCGAATCCGACCGATGCTCAGGCCTAACCACCATCGTCGCCGCCGTTGCCACCGCCACCACTACCACCGTCGCCACCACCATCAGAACCACCACCCTAGCACCGCCCCCACCACCACCGCCGGCACAACCACCACCGTCGTCGCCGCCGCCACCCCACCACCACCACCCCAACACCACCACTGCCGTCGCCGCCACCACCATCACCGCCGCCGCCGCTGCCACCACCACCACCCTTACATATTTTTATAAGGGTATTTATGTCTTTTAAAACATATTTCATTTATATTCCTTAAATCAATCAAACACTGTAATATAATTCCTGAAGTCTATTCCTTCCGCGAACCAAACAATAGAATACAATTCATATTCTATTCCTTGCCTATTCCATTCCTTATGAAATAGCATTCCAATTACCTCAAAATTCATTCCATGAACCAAACGTGCTGTAAGGCGCGAGTTCTACTGTGTAGGTTTTATTTTTACTTCTGTTTTGGTTAATGGTTTAAGCCTTTAAGGAGAAACATTAACGGAGGTTCAAGTTAACGGAGCCAATACAAAAATTTAACGGAGTCAGGGTCATTTAAGAGAGAAGTTAGTAATAATTAAGGGTAAGTTAGGAAAATCACTTAAAAATATTTAAATAGAAATCATATCAACTATTTATTTGAATATTACACAAATATTTTTTTATTTCCGTAAGGACTTAACTTTATTGACTCTTATTAAATTTTGTAAATGTAGATTATAATTAAGAATTCTAATTGTAATCGAAAAATCATTTCTAATTGAACTGAATTTCTAAATTATTATATTTATAATTAAGAATTATTAATTTTAATTAACAAAAATAATCTAATTTCCAATATCTATCTAAATTCCTAAATCTATTTAAACTCCTAAAATAAGTTTTGATGATTTTTGTTAATTAAAATTAAGAATTTTTAATTATGAATATAAAAATTTAGAAATTAAGTTCAATTATAAATGTTTTTTATATATCAAATATAATTCTTAATTATAATAATTTAAGTAAAGAACATGTTAAATCCTAATTGTTTTACAGGTTTCATTGTCGTAGAATTGAACCTGCAGTTAGCATTGTTAATAATTAAATATATAATAATTAAGTAATAAATATGTTTAGGAAAGTAGATATATTTTGTATATTAGAAATATAAGAGTTACCTAATAAAATACTAAGTCTTAGATATAGTATGTATGAACAGATACTACAATGTAATAGAAAGTCAATAGCTTTCAAAAAAAAGTAATAAATATGTTTAGAAAAATAGATATATTTTGTATATCCCCTATACTAATATTTGGGAGTTGCCAATTGCCCCTAAAAAATGGCACCCCTTATTAACCATTGATCTCAAATCATGTGGTTAACATTTTTTGATATAACATTTAGATTTATTTTTGTTATCAAATGCCCTCAATTTTTGAGTGAATTACAACTTTACCATTCTATAGCTCACTTCTAGACAAAAATTCCTTTCTCTTTTCATTCTACTTTTTCTTTCTTTTCTTTCATATTTTTGTCTTCTTTTGAGGATAGCTCCATGTGGCTATTAAAGTGTTACCATTTTCCCTTCATTTTCTTTTTTTTTTTTTATATTTGTTTTCTCTCTCCAAAATTGAACCCAAACCTATACATTTTTTTTAAACCACCTATACATTTATTCTTCCTCATTTCTCTTCTTTTCCTTTTTTTTTTTTTTTTTTCAAGTCTCCTAAGTAAAAAATTATCTTTTAACTCTTACAAGAGTCACTTTGTGTATATTTTTAACTGTAAAAAATCTTAAATACAGAATGTCGGAATTGGGTTACGAACCTGCAATAACATATTCATTATGACACTGAAAGACATTATTATTAATATTATTTTTAAATATTATGATGAATCAGAGATTAGTTGTATGTATTTCTAACAGTATTTTTATAACTTGCGACTCAACCTCTACATTCAAAATCACCTACATTTATTTAACATCTTGTGTCTGTTCTCATAGTTGAATCATTTCTCCTAGAAAGCACCATTGACTGCATGTCAATTGAATCATCAAATTTTCTATGTCATGTGTTCTGGGTCAGACAAGTGAGAAGTGCATTAGGTTTAATATATTTCTGTATGAACACAATTAGATATTCAAATTCCACCACAATGAATAATAAAAGATTCTAAGAATGTCAACAAATTATTAGGTAGGAATTGGTCAGCGGCATCAAAGGGGAACGAGAATGTGAGGTAGGAAATTTTGTAAGGGGGTTGGAAAATAAGACATAAATGTTCGTTGCTAAAAGATCCAAATTTAGAGTTGGATGATGCAATATTAGGACTAAGGAAAGTGTGCTCCCGCTATTTGAAGAGAATTGAAAGTTTGGGAAAATGATGACTTTTTCTTCCTCCATTTCCCTACAAGCTTTAGACGAAATTGGTTGTTATCTTTTAGATCTAAATAATTGATCGTTGTCTAATGCAATGTATACGATATTTTGTTATTAATAATATAATAATGTATTATTTGTTATAATACAGATTTGTCTGCAGGCCTTTAGCCCGCGAAGAACAGTAAAAGAAGATTCAAGATCAGAGAAAGGACTCTTTTCATTTATTCCTTCATTGATATGCTTTACATCAATATATATAACAGTCATTGCATAATCATACCATAAATAACAAGCCATTACAAATCAAATCATTAATGCTAGAATAATGTCCATATTTATATTTTACAACACTCCCCCTTGGACATTATTTTGCCATAATCATGTCTCGTTAAAAACTTGTCAGGAAAACCCTGTGGGAAAAAACCTAGACAAGAAAAGAGTACAATAGGAAATATATTCATGCCTCATTAAAAACTTCACTAGGAAAATCGCGTGGGAAAAACCTAGTTGAAGAAAAGAGTACATGATATATGTAAAAACATATATTATATTGGTTGCCTCATTAAAAACCTTAAATTAAGAAAATCCTGTGGGAAAAACTTAGTTAAGGGAAAAAGAGTACAACTATAAGCCTTCAGGGCATAATCTTCAGGATTTTGGGGTTTGTTTACCTCTCCCCATTTACATTACTATATCTTACACATGCCTCGTTAAAAAAACCTCATTATAAAACCCAATGGGAAAAACTATTTGAGGATAAAAGAGTGCATGGTGTATGTGTATTCTTGTTTTAGATTAACTACCTCGTTAAAAACCTTAGATTTAAGGAAAAACCCCGTGGGGAAAACTTAACTAAGAAAAAGAATACAGTTGCTAGTCTTCAAGACCCAATCTTCAGGATTGTAAAATGATACTCCCCCTCAAGAAGACAATCTTCAAATCCACACATAATATATATCCAAAATTGTAGAAATGGATTAGTAAAATCTTCTAGATTGTCACTAGAGTGAATATGTTGCACAATAATTTTGCGACTCTTCTAGAGCCCGTATTGGTTGGGTTTTAACGCTACATATATTTTGTCAATTATTCTTTAACATACTCCTTATATTATTTGTCCTCATTTGGGACATTGGGGGGAAATCCTTGTTTAACAGTTTGGAGTTTTTGGCATCACGGGGATCAAACATATATAATAGCCAATACTCAAACTACCTATCAAAACCATACATTTGTTTCTCATATAAATGTCAAACTCTTTTGTGACCCGGAATAAACATTATTCCAATATTTCTTTGTAGTAGGAACCCTAGATGTTGCTAGCAATTTTATCGCAAATATCATGTCTGTTGCGATTATGGAACTTCTGGTTCTAAAAGGTGCTCTAATGACAAAATAAAGTAAAGGACTGTTAAGGTATCCTTATCAAGTCTAAACGGTTCCTTATCTACTTCAAGAGATTATTAGGAAACCTTATAGTTTGACGAAACTATGATACTTAACCATATAGATAGGTGAAAAATAGGCGAACTGGTGTATAAAATTCATTCAATGAAAAAAACTTGATGTTTAAGTTGAGATAATACTTAGCTTTCACAAGTCTTTTATTTCAAAAACTCCGTCTTTAGATATGGGCTGACATCATCAAGCCCTTTATATATTTCATTGATGTTTTCCACCATCAATATTGACTTAGATAATGAATAATAAATAAGTTCATTATCAACCCTTTATCGAGCACACAATGGTACATATTATTCCTTCAATGAGGATATTAACTCCATTCGCAACCCTTTAAAGAGTAAATAATGACACTTAAATTCTCATTTCGGGAATTATAAATCCATCAGGGATTTCTCAAAATAAATATTAACTGCATATCTAAATTTATTATTATTCTGCCAATAATATTATGTAGCGGAACTTAATGTCGTTTATCGTGGGAGAGTATATTTATTAAAATCAATTAAGGGTCTCTGCGTGAACTCATAGGCTAT